CCCAAAATATCCAAATCTTAGTCATAGGAGAGAAAATTACTTCATTCATTCCCAAAATGTTTTTAAAATAATCTGCTCTTGAAAAATGAACAATATGCTCAATAACCACAATAAAAGCTAACCTCCATTGTTTTACTAGGGAACTAAGTCTAGAACTGGAGGATTCTAGACCCCTAGTGTTCCAAATCAGCCAATTCATTGAGATATGGGTAGAGGAGGTAAATCTTTCGCTGCACTTCTTGTAAATCTTTTCTGAGTATTATCAGGTGCATTATTTTGTCTCTTTGATGTCCTTCTTGTCACTTTAGTGAACCCATCCTCATCAACCCCCTGGAGAGGCTGTGCATCTTCTGAAATCTGATGCTCACTATCTTCCCCATTCTGATTATTTGAATCATCTTCAGGACTAACTCCATTTTCATTTTGCAAGCTTTGGAAGTCCTCAGTGTTATCTGCTAGCATCCCTGGAAGAGATAACCTATCACCTTGAGGCAGCTTCTTGTCTCCATCAGAGTATTGAGAATGCTCCCCTGCTACACGTACAAGAACATTATCTGTGATGTAAAGTGTGGAGTTTTGTAAAGCTTTCTCCTCATCAAGCCTCTTAGACATAATCTCCACCCTTTCTTTAATTTCTTCCCAGTTATCTAACAGGTTAATGCACCATTGAGGTAACTCCTTGTCTCCATCAGAGTATTGAACTTTGGCCATCATATCTTTGTCTTTCTTCAGGGAACTGTGCATTGCAGCAAGGTGAACATCATCCTTACTAACAAATGACTTAGGATCCCAACTAGCTTTTTCTGTGATATTAAAGGTAGCAGTGTCCAGCACTGAAGATGGGACAGTCTTAGCATTGCCTTCATCATAAGGGACAAGCACTTCAGTGAAAACATTCTCTGTCTTAGAATCATCCAGCTCTTGAATATGAGTTTTAGATGTAGAAGGCATGTCCAGAGCATTAGTGATAGAAGTAATATGTTGTGTAATTTTTGATTTCCCCATATCAATTGCATTCCCATTCCCTTGTTTCCCGTCTGTAATTTGCTTCTTTCCCTTAGTATTAATAGGTTTAGCAACCCATTGATCTTTCACAACCTGTCCATCATTTATCATCTATAGGCCTTTTAGGACATGTAGCCCCGGAATGATCCAAGTGAGAGCATTTAGTACAATATAAAGGCCCATTCTCATACACAACTTGTTGAACAAAAACCATGGGATCCACATTGGATCCATAATTTGTTAGGCATATCACCTGTTAGGTCAAGCTCAACGCAAACTCTGGCCAAAGAAGGCCTAGCCAGAGCTGTAGTAGCAACATCAATTTTCAATGGCCTTCCAATCATCCAGTTATATCAAACAATGCTCGTTTATCATGTAGATGAATAGGAAGACTTTCAAATGTTAACCATACAGGGACCACTGGGGATTCAACATTAGGTTTAAAATCTGGGGTCCATTTGGTAACACACATGGCACTACCAAATATATCCCAAACCTGACGATTCCAGCACTTAACGTAGTCATCTTCTAACTCAAATCGGATTAAGATGTGTTTTTTAGAATACCCAATTGGAATTTACCCTTGAATCCAATCAATTCAAACGCCTTTCTAAGAGAAATCATGGATGGTCTTCCCGCAAAAAATAACCACCAGATCCTTGGAATGTTTGGATGTCAAAAGTTGAATTTCCTCCTCCGGGAAGGTTATAGTAGGCATCCCTTTAAACCTGGATGGACATTTTATAGATAAAGGCATGTCCTTGGCCTCACCGGCCACCACCGCAGCAAACGACCGGCCTCCCCATACCTTCGCAGGTGGAGGAGGCGCCGCCTCTCCTCCCGTCACAGTAATACCCCGAAAATTTGAGAGAATTTGGGAAATAATTAAAATTTTGTTTCATATCGTTTAGACAGTCTTTAGGTAGTTTATTATGGTTGGTTTATTGTTTGGGACCAAGGGGAGGTTCAAACGGGGAAGAAACGGGGCAAAAACTAAGGTTTGGGGCGCCTGGGGGTCACGCACGGCGTGCGTTGGGTCATGCGCAGCGTGCGTGGCAAGAAAATCAAGCGGAATAGCTACTTCCAGCCACGCATGGCGTGCGTGGAAGGTACGCACGCGTGCGTCCCTATTTTATTCTAATGCGACTCAAACTTCGGAAATTCACTATAAATACATCCCTAATCTGATTTTCCTCACTCCAAAAACCCTAGGACCGCCTCTTCAAGCTCTATCTATTCCAGATCTTAAATATTAACATAAACAACACGATATTTGAGTCCAAGAACGTGATCAAACAATCCAATCTTCCGGTAAGTACGTTTGTTGCCTAATTAGCATCGTGTATCCGTTTTCTTGATTTCTCTCTTAAATTGTGATCCTTCAACCCTATCACTTCCTAGGGACGTGTGAATGACTCATCAAGATAGGTTTCACGTTTAGGATTCGTTGCTAGCCTTGAGGTAAGGACTATTGCAACCAAAACTACTATTTTGCCCCTATTATGTATTAATTAGGGTTTGGACTATGATTTGAGTTTCTTTATGAAATTTTATGGATATTTGGGTTATTATAGTATATTTATGATGATTTATGATTTTCCGGGAATTCATGAACATGTGATTTTTGGTGAACTTATCAAATCAGTTTGCTATGGCTAAAATTGTGATTTTTGAGTATTGTTCTTTTGGGATTGGAAAATTTTGGTGATTGTTTTGGCATGAGTTGAAGTATGATTTGAGACTATTATAATTGGTTATGTTGAAAATATATTATGGGTTTAGAATACCCCAATTTGATTATTTTGGTGGTAGTAGTAAAGGCTACTTTTGGGAAGTGGTTGTTTGGGTTAAACTCTCGTTTTGGAAAGTGTTGTGAGATCAAATCTTTTGGGACAAACTATATATTTTTAAATGTATAATTTGGTATGAAAATTTACATATATATTCTGGAGTTATAAATATCCGTATTGGATTATTTTGAATATGGTATTAAATATTTTATTTAAATATTTTCGAGCCAATTTGAGAAATTGAAGAATATTTCGAAGTATATTAAATCAAGATAAAAGAATGATTTCATAAGAAGTGAGCACCACAGGAGAAATCCGTGGTGTCGTTTTTCCACATCCAGATAAATGTGGAGGGTGATTAGAGTGGATACTACTAAGAAGTACAGTTTGAGTAACTTTCGGATCGATGATCCCTTTAAAGAAGGAGAGTTGTGGTGGTGGTAGTAGTTCCGGCGTAAAAGGGCTGCTACTGCTAAGGGTGAGGATAAGTTTTGAGTGATAATTGGATCGATGATCCCTTTTAAGAAGCAGAGTTATAGTAGTAGTCCCTAATCATTCAAGAATTTGTAAAGGTGGGGTGGTTGGGTTCCGACCACTCAGGATGACTTACTACTCAGAGGGCTTGGAATCCCTTTTAGGGGATGTGCACACTTAAGGTAGTCGTTTTGTTTCCGCAAGAGCAGTTGTGGTACCGGCACTTGTTCGGGGTGGCCGTCCGTAACCACGGTCCACCGGGCTCAGTCGAAAGGTTGAGCACCGCCCTTCTAAACTACTAGGAAGTTAGTGAAAAAGAGATTTTCTTAAGAAATTTAAAGAGATGAATTACTATGATATTTTCGAAGAGAAGTTGAGAATTTTAGTAAAGATACGATTTTAAGAAAAATCAAAGTGAAAAGAATTTTGGTGGAGTGTGTTATTTTTATATAGTATTATATGAAAAACTATTTTCGCCGAACGTGATTATTTTACGGGGGTGGGTGGGCCTTACTTAGCTAAAAAGCTAATTTTTGTTTCTTTTCTTTGTTTTGTTTTCTGCACTTTAATTGTGCAGGTGATGAAGGTTAAGCATGATGATGAGAGCTGCGTTAGATTACGTAATTTAGTATTTATAATCACCTAGTTATTGTTTATTTCAGTTTGAGAACATGTAGGCATTTAAATTATTTTTTGAAATTTTCAGTACTTAAATATTTGGATTATTTTTGGATAGTGGTTTAGCCTGTGCATTCGGATAAGAGACAGTCGGATGTGGCGGTGACACCCCTTTTTCCATTAAATTTTTGTTTCCGCTGCATTACTATTTATTTTAATAAAGTACGTTTTTACTGATTAATACTATTTCAAGTATTATTTTGGGAGGGAAAAATGGGGGTGTTACAGTCACGGTCATGAACAAACACGAATCGTCAGAACTTCTCTCTCTAGAGTTTTTACCGCTTCGGAGGACATCGAATGGGTTGCAGGAGAGAAGAAAGACGAAGAAGAAGAAACGAGTTGCATCGGCGGCGGTTGAGTTCCAACAACAACGCGGGTCTTGCTATTTTCGCCGAGGTAAGAGTCGTCGATGTCATTGGAGTCTCACCATCGTCGTTGTAGTTGGGCACCTCATAGTCGCCACCGGTGTCACATGTGAGAGAGCATACCATCGCCAAAGATTCTATCATCGTCGTGGATTTGTCCCTGTCATGAGTTCATCGTCGCTACGGTAGGTGACCTGATGCCAAGAGCTGATTGATAGCCGCCGAGTAGAAGAAATGATAGAGCACATAGCACGAATAGGTGTGATGAAGAATTCAGATTTGAGGGCATTTTAGATATTTGATACTACTTTTACTCTCTCTTTTAATCTAAATAGAAACAGGTTCTATTTTTATCCAAAACATGAGAATCTTATTTTTGACATCATTTCTTTTATTATTATAGAACATGTAAATTAATTTTATAAATTACATAGTATAAATTAAGGTGATGAACACAAATATATCTAAATAAAGTATACAGACTACTTTTTTTTAATAATAATACTATATAAAGTACATATATAAAATAAAAAAAATAAGTTTCAAGTGGGGCGGTGGCCCCGACACTCTAAATCTATGCATGATTTCAGTCTCAATGAGACTAAATCAAATTCAATTTAAATAGATCAAATTATGTTACATTAAATCACACTTAAACAATAGTAAAATAAACATATATTCCTAATCATATTTTATCAAATTAGATTAGATATAAACAAAATCAAAATTAAATGAACTAGACCAATGGGCAATATGCATTGTTAGCTGTGAGCACCGGACTGACCGGAGGAAAAAGTACGACGCCGTTAGAGGTCAATTACCATTTAAGCTTCTTCAAGCGTCGAACCAGATCGAATGGCGAATTCATAGTTTGTTCGGTTCCAATTAGAAGCCACCCCATCACTGAACTTGACCGGGAAATAGGCGATCTGTCTTTCATCGGCGCTCCGACGGGAAATTGAGCACTCAAAACTCAAATGGCCGATATGAGAAACAAATCTTCTTCAAAAGAAGAAGAGATAAAGCTTGAACTGGAATGCGAAGAAATAGGGAATATGACGACTCCTGCAGCACGGGCCACTGAAGCTCCAAAACGCCCACTCGAAAGAGGCAGCACCGGCGATGGAGGTGGGGGATGGGGGGGATGGGGGTTCTCCGCATTCTCTTACCTCTCCGACCTTCAGAAGGCCGCTGCGGTTGCTGCCGAAGAGATCTCTCGCAATGTACATTTCTCATTTCTCCATCTCATCTGTGCTTTGTTTCTAAGATATTGTTAGTGTGCATTTAGATCGTATCTTAGAACTGCACAAATTATGTGCCCATCTTTTTTTTAGGTTTAGAGTGTGAAGTTCAACGCCTGTTTGTATTTGAAATGGCCTTCTCCTTATTCTCTTCCGGTGCTAAACTGCTCAGTACGATTCTAGTCATACTCATACTAGCATTTTCATTCTTAGAAAATATTACGCCAGGGAAATTAACTTTACAATATCTTAAAAGTAAAATCTAATGTTTCCCGAATTGAACAGGTTATTTATTTAGGGAGTGTTTGCAAAGTTGTTGGTAAACAAGGCTGAGTTAAGAAAACACTTGCTTGTTTAAGACAATGCTGAATATTTCTTAATCAACCAAGATTTGAATCTCATTCTATTCTGGCTTGTGTTGCGTTTGTGATATTTTTCCTGAACAATTCTTTTTTGATCTGTATTAATTCTCATGTCTTCACTCCCATGGCAGTTTTGGTTATTAAAGCTTTCATTTTTGCAGGCTGTTGAGGCTGCTAAAACAGCAGCAAAAAGCATTTCTGATATTCAGGATGTGGATGAGGAGTCTGAACCTTCTGAAGAGCATGAAAGTGAAGCATCTGTCGTTGAGGTTGAAAGTGAAGATGAGAATGACAAACGACGCAAGGAGGCTTTGGATAAATTAGAGAAAGCTAGCGAGGAATCCTTCCTTGGACAGGCAAGCCAATAATGAATTATTAAGCGATCTTTGTTTGATTGTCTAATGTAGGGGTCATTGTTACATATATTCCGTATTTGAATACCTGACCTTGCTATAAGGTTTACATGATCATATACCGGTCTGAATGTTATTACTCTAATTGTTTTGTATGGCCATGTTTACCTCTCAACAAATTATGCAGGGAATTAAGGTTATTGATAATTCAGTCGAGAGTTTTACTTCTGGAGCATGGCAAGCACTAGGAAATGCATTGAAAGGCGGTTCTAGTTTTGTTCACAAGTATGCCTGTTTTTACCTCAATTGCAACAATACTACCCAATTATGCATTTACCCTTTATTTGTAAGACTTAAAAAAATCAACAGAAAATCCCCTCTGACCCCCAGGTAATTTGTTATAATGTGATCCTCTGTTTTTCTTATTCAGGCTTGAGGAATCCATTCAACATGTTCAGAAAGGTGGCTTACCAGGTGCAACAGGTTCTGTTGCACCATCCATACTAGAGGTCTTCACATATGGCCTGATTATCTTTTTCAATGTTTTAGTACTGTAACTGCTGTTTATGGTTTTATGCTTGTGCTACCATGTAGACTGGAAAAGCTTTTACTGCTAAGGGAATGCAAGTGCTTGAGCGACTTGGTATAGAAACCATGGATCTTCTAATCTCTGAGACTGGTATTGAAGTTGATAAACAGACCAAGGAAACTGAAGGAGATGTAGATGAGGAAGTTACATTTGACCGATGCTTCTATATCTATGGGGGTCCAGAGCAGTTGGAGGTTGCTTTCATTCTCTAATTGCAAATGTACTTATGTTTATATCTGTTTTGAATAGGCATTTTGTAAATTTGACGATATTATTTATTCACAGGAGCTTGAGGCATTGTCCAACCATTATGCGATGCTCTTTAACAGAAAGAAAGTGAAGCTACCTTCTGGAGAAAGGTCTACTTATGACGGAAAGCTCAAACAGGTCCAACTGATTCTTGACTTGAGTTCTGAAATTGATGGAAGCTTGGAATTGGAAAAGGGGAAACAAGTAGAAATTGGATGTGTGGATAATGCTGCAGAGATGAAGGTTTTACATGATTCTAGTGTCAAAAAGGCTGCTGAATTGGCTGCTGGGTAATATTACCTTAGACACATCTAGCCATATTATTTTGGGCAGAGTGGTGGGAGGGTGTGGTTCATCACCTTTTGCAAACCAAACATGTTAGTTGAAGAAGGGTTAAAATTACATGCCTTATGACTCTTAGGGTATGTTAGGACTTAGGATCCCAGAAAATCTTAGGTAAAATGGAGTAAATGTCAAGGAAAATTATTTCTTAAGTGTGTTTATATAGTAGAAAATGCAAAGGTAAATGAAATATGATAATTTTTAAATGTTTTACGTATACTTGGATTTCAAAGTGTTCATATAATCAATAGGAAAAAATGAAAAATAAAAATCAGGTATGAACAAATTTCCAAAATAAGTCTAATACGTTTAAGCCTAACATTTTTTCATTCTTTCAATTTCCTTCCCTGATTTTTTTAAATGTAAAATGGAAACTTTTGTTGCATATTACGACCTCCGTCTCACTATCTTTTGAAGTTGAGGAAGTGAGACATATTAAAGAAAGCAGAATTATGTGGTTGGTATTGAATTTATAAAGTATGAATTTTTTTCTACCACAAAAATGCTACCAAATACAGTATCATACAAACTTAGTGGGATCAACGAAAATAAAATGATGGTATACAGATTACAGATAGTGGGACAGATGAAGTACTGTTGTTGTGTGTGTGTTTGTGGTGGTGGTGTGATGCATGCTACAATATAATATTATGGAAAGATAAAGAGAGCAATCAAGTAGAATAATGAGGAGTAATAGCTGATTGATTTTATAATGATTTGATTTTAATACCTTCATTATTTAATCTATTTTAGTAAGTGATTTTCTAGGATTTCCCTTTCCTTGTATTCTGCATTCATATGCATGTAATCTCTCTTATAAAAAGGGAGCTTTGCTATGCTAATAAGACATCGAAGAAAAATTAAGAAGAAAATCAAGGAAAAGTTAACTCCCCAAATTTTCCACAGCTCCCTATCCATTTATCATTTTTATTTCATTCCCATGACGCAAAGGATCCCGGTACATAACATTTTGGTTCCATTGCCGGTGTCATGGGAATTTCACACTTCCTGCTGATCAGTAAACACTCCTCTTAGAGATACAGAAGGAGTTACATAAACTGACTAGCGAAGGGCATCTTCACAGGATGCAAAATGCAATGCAAAAGGTGCAACTAGCACTGCCACCATTAAAGGAGTCGCTTCAGAAACTTTCTAACCAGATTGCCAACCTTTCCCAATCAGTGGACTCCTTGGGAGGAGATGAAGCACCCCCATCAGTAAACACTTCATCTCCAGAATTATGCCTCAACCGCCGGCTGCGTTGCTTCAAATACAGCATCTTCTAGAGCCAATGCTGTCCGCAACACCCATATTGCAGACTGCCCTACCCGATAAACTTCCTAAAACAAACTTCTTGGACTTCCGGGATCCATTTTGGTCCACTAAACCTGTCCCACACTCTATTCCAATGGAATTTTTAATGGACAATGACCACCTTGGCCATAGTCCACCACTAAGAGCGACTTTCAATCTTCAAGAATACAAGGACCAGTGGCACTTTTTACTGATGCAGTCATTCAAAATCCAGTTCAAGTTTTCAAGCTTGAGGGCAAGCTTGATTTTCCAGGAGGGGTGTAATGATGCATGCTACAATATAATATTATGGAAAGATAAAGAGAGCAATCAAGTAGAATAATGAGGAGTAATAGCTGGTTGATTTGCTTGCTTGATTTTATAATGATTTGATTTTAATACCTTCAATATTTAATCTATTTTAGGAAGTGATTTTCTAGGATTTCCATTTCCTTGTTTTCTGCATTCATATGCATGTAATCCCTCTTATAAAAAGGGAGCTTTGCTATGCTAATAAGACATCGAAGAAAAATTAAGAAGAAAATCAAGGAAAAGGAAACTCCCCAAATTTTCCACAGCCCCCTATCCATTTATCATTTTTATTTCATTCCCGTGACGCAAAGGATCCCGGTACATAACATGGTGGGGGCTTTGCAGCCTTGTGCAGTTTATTAATAACATCGAACTGACAGGGACGGAACAGGAACTCGTCTTGTTCGGCCACTACCTGTTAGATAACAGAAATCATCAATATTTAAGCAATGTGAAATACAATATTGCAATTATGACAATTTCCCTTTTTAGCCTCCTTTTATCTATACTCTTTAGTATACAGAATGAATGACCTTTTCGTCAGATCTCAGATGTTGAAGACCTTGCTCACTTCGGTTTATTTTGTAGTTTTGCAAATGCTTTGGCTGGACTAGCTCTAAATGATATGATACAACGGACTGTGGGGAGACTGGAATCTCTCCACTCTGAGGGTGTTCATGTATGAAGGCATTTCTAATATTATTTATTTGTTGTTATATGTTTGTTTATTTGTTCTTTCTTGTTCTCTCTTATAAAAAATGTGTAACCGATTATGTGTATTACCCATTCCTGTTACAGACATAACTAACAAGTGACTTATTGTCCATGTTAATATAGAGGCTTTCTGAAATGTGTTGCTTTGCTGTCACCCAAAGCCTCATGCTTGGGAAATCTATCATATCAAATATAAACAAGAATAGTCAGGATGAGGACGTTGATGAGGGCATGGTTAGAATTAATTGGCCTGAGGACTCTATTGAAAGAGCAAAGATTATCCGAGCTAGGGCAGAGCTGATGACATCAAGTATTGAGGTAGTCTGTTCCAGTTTTATTACAGGTTAGAATTGTAAGATAATTTACTATTTCAATTCAGTTTGGGTCCATTTGGAATCAGAAAAGTGCTAGGGAAATAAAGGAAGAACTAGAGGGGAAATTTGGAAGGGAAGAACATTTGGGGGGAAATTAATAATTATTTTTCTTGATAAATCATTTTAGATATATGTCTAAACTCATTTTATATTTTTTTCTAGTATATAAACTCTAAGAAGTGTATGTATAACTTAAGAAGTTTTAATCAAATATGATTCCACTCAAGGTAATACCCAACTTAAAGAACTATAATCCTTAACATTTTGTGTGTTACAAAACACTGCCTTTTATATCTACCCTGCTGTTTTTTCATGTTTCTTATTTCCCTAAATTGTTGCAGATACATCATCATCATTTCATCATTTTCATTTACCCCAGTGCCGCAAAGGCTCCCACCTACGGTGGGGTAAGGGGGGGTCGGATGTACGCAGTCTTACCCCTGTACTAAAGCACAGAGAGACTGTTTTCGGATGACCCATAGTGAAAATCGCGTCCAAAATTGCATGGACTGACTGCTGCGTCATAACAAAGAAGCGTAGACAGTTTAGTGAGTCATTTTGCTTTATTCCATCATAATCTCAAGCCAAAAAATAATGAATCTTTGGCTCCATTGCAAATGATGGAAAATTGTTGCAGATACAGTTGAAATAAAAAATTTAAAATCACTTTTTTGTAACATAGTATTTGTTCATGTTTCTTATCTTTGCCTTTGTAAGTCTCCATTTTATTATTTAAGACCCTAAGATCGGAAGATACATGCTGGACAACCTGGCCTCAGTGCAATGAAATCATCTTAATCCTGACTAATTGAAGCTGTTGCCATAAAGTTTGTAGTTTTAATTAATTTACAAATTTCCGTTTTACATCAAAGGACTAGATTTTGACCTGTAGGTATACTGGAGGTGAATGAGGCATATGGAGCTGCGATAAAAGCTGTGTCTGCTGATTCGGATGAAACTGCCCTGAAAACAGTCCATGCCAAAGCTAATGTGTTTTCGGAGGACCTTAGTGCAAATCGTGGCACAGCAATTGGGAAAGTTCAGGACGGGCTTCAGTTCTTGCCTTATTTGGTGGTCTCTACTTCGATGCCTGCTGCTTAAGGATTACTAGATGCCACTGATTCTCAGTTATGTTGTTTTTAGTTTCTCAGTGTAAATAGTATCATATAGAAGGTGACTCACGTGGTCTCCATTCATACTGGCACCCTCTAAGTTTGCTTTTTATTTCAAACAGACCCTTGCCCGTTTTCCCCAATTTTTTCCAGGGAAGACACACAACACACCATGTATTATGAAATTGAAGCAAATTACGTCTCACTCACTGCTCGGAATCCCACATTTCCATTCGTTGTTAAATTTTAGTTATGTACCATGTACAATGCGAGCTCCTCTCAAGTAACATGAATCCTCCATTAGGAGAGAGATAGAGTGAGATGGGGAAATGGTGGGGTAGAAACAAATAAAAGATGGGGTTTAATTATTATTTTTAAGGAGAGAGATAGAGTGAAAAAGAAATGGAGAGAGTAAATGAAGAGAAGAAAATGGAGAGGAGTATGACTCGTACAATGCTTGTCTAATTAATGCCAGTTATTATCAGGAAACCAGATTGGTAGTTTGTTATTGATCTTGCATGGGCAAACTTCCTGTCAAATAAATCATAGTTGTGGTCCCGTGGAGTTGTGGTACTTATTTGCTAGCTGATTAATGTACTACCATTTTTTGACCATTCCATTCCTATGCGAGTACTATTCATATGCTTTATTTTGACTATATTTTATTTACGAAATCATTAAAATTTTATTTTTAAAAAAAATATGCTAGTAATAAAATTCTTCTTACTTTAAAATTTTAAAATGTGAACTGTTTCAAATTTGTACAATTAAGGAATTATATGTACTAATGGTTAAAATTGTGCATTGATAAAAGTGAAAATGTAAAAGTTGATTGTGTTGCAACTAAAAAAGAACGAAGTAATATATAAAGGTTGAAGAATATAAAAGAAAATACTAATTGAGGGAAAATTGATGTCTGCCGTTAAGCTAGGTTCACTTTCAAAGTCTTAAGGCCATGTTTGGTATGACGTAATCAACCACGTAATGTAATGTAATGAGTATGACGTAATTTGCCATTTTAGTTTAAACCGTAATGTAATTGACATTACATATGTGGAACTCATTACATTTACATGTGTATTAAGCTTTACATTAAAAAATTGTGTATTAAATATTACAACTCACGTCATGTAAGCGCACCTTCTTTGTTCCAGTATAGGACACATTTGTCATTTTTCATACGAAATGTATGAAAAACACATTTTTAACTAATACTCCGTATGTTTAATATAAAAAAACACACACACTCCGTGTCTCCGTGTATATGATTATCATGATCATATCACCATCCCCATTCCCATTGATCTTTTTAATGGGCCTCCTTTTATTGTTTTTTTAAATCCAAATAGGTTTAAGGGATAGGTTTAATATTTACTTAAATTTTGTGAAACATTGTTTCTAAAAAACAATTATCTTCAAAATATACTCAAAAACCTAATGAAAATTATATCAAAATGTTTTTATTCAAAATATTTACATAAAAGTATAAAATTTATAAATTATATACAAATATATTAATTAAAATCATAATCCAAATTTCAATGTATCAGTGATGATAACTTTAAATCGCAAACAATTGATTGCATTGTCCAATTCTACAAGTACATAAACAAACACGATTATGTAATGGCGATTACATTTCAAAGTTGTTATTACTTAAGTAACAAAACATAGCAGTGGAATAGAGACTTCATTTCATTACATTGTATTTTGTATTGCATTACACACTTCATTTCATTCATTTGCCTTACATCATACCAAACATGGCCTAAGAACTTGGAGACCGGAATGGACTTTAGTCAAATAGTTAATCGGATATTCAGAGTAGTGAGCGCGCTGCAGCAAACCTGGACAATCGGAAATCAGAACACAGGTTGTTTGGTGCGAACAAGCGGAGCATGATTGCGAGCTCCAATCTCTTTCTATCTATCAACCGCGCTTGAGTTGTTCTTTCAAATTCTAAATTCGGTTTCAATTAGTATATTTACAAATTAAATTATTGTATTCAGGAATTAAATTCTAATTCTAATAATAGTACTTCTTTCGTCCTCTATAATTGTCCCATTTTTCAATTTTTAGATGTCCCATTGTAATTGTATCATATCATATATGATAACATTTGTGTAGTTCTAATTCATTCTTATTTTATTCATACTTTATCAATTCATTATCAACCACATAATTCCACTTTTCTTAAAAACCACATCATTCCAATATTAGGGAGGTAGTAATAGATTTTTTAGGTCTCAAAAGTAAAAACATATCAGTCAAAATTTTGTATAATTTCATTTTATTTCAAAGGCCTTGTTTGGCAAATGGCTGTTCATTGTTGCTGTTAGCTGTTTTGATCGACTGGTTATGTTAGTGACTATAAATAATTGTTTGTTAAAATCGGCTGTTTCAAAATGGTTGATATAGTGTAGTCCATCTATAAGAATGAAAGAAGCCGATCTAAAAAGCTGCTCCCCTTGATTTTTCCTACCGGCCATTTTTTCAGTTTTTTGTATTCAACATGCCAATCTAAAAAGCTATTCATGAAACATAAATATTGAATGCTTTCATTAACGAAACAACTAAATTTGGTCAAACAAGTTGGCCTATAAGCCATTTTACAAACATGCCCAAAATAAAAATAAAACCAGGAGAATACGTGACTTCAGGAAAAAAGAATATCCCTGCGCGGAATTGCGGAATTTACCCAATTGCATTGATACTGTCGGCTGATGCTGGTCGGCGTCCTGAACTTTTACGGAGTACTTCTGATCAACTTTTAGTCTTCCCAGGTTTGCTACAAGCCCACAACCAGTTTTCTTCTCTCACCCAGTTTCTAGTTTTACCCACGGTAGGAGATGAGTTCCTTAGCTTCATTTGGGTCGACTTACCTCGATCGTGGCTGCCCCCTGAATTTCCAGGTTAGTTCGCCCAGCCCCTCAAGATTTGCAAGATTTCGTTTTGTAAAGAGGTTGAATGCCTAATCGAGTGTATTGTAGGGTGAATGGAAGAGCTCGAAGCTAAGGAAGCTCTGCGTGAGAGCTTCTTCAGCGGCTGCCCAAGCTCAACAATCGGAAAAGTTTCGAATAGGTGTTCTTGGAGCCAGTGGCTACACTGGTTCAGAGGTAACCTGATTTTTCTGTCGTCTGAAATCTCATTAATATACACATAGTGTTGCATTCTTGACCCACCAGTTTTCATGGGCTTGATATTTTTGAGATGGTCACATGGCCTCAACTCTGTAACTTGAATTCTATATTAATCTGTAAATAATTGGATGTAGTCCAACAAGTTGATCTGTAAATTCTAATGTGAATGTTTTATCCTAAAATTGTTGTCTGTATTCTTGTTTCATCCCACTCACAACTAAGATAATTTGAAGTACTTCTGTTAGGCTGAGTTTTTAGTATATACTAGTATAAAACAACATAACGTGTTATCAGAATCCATTATACTCCTACTAGCATCTAGATCTGATTACTACTCATATCAATTTGACCTTTTTACTATAGTGCCGTGAACCTTAATAATATAGACTCATATTTGGGTCGTGATTCCCTAACCTTTTGCAGATTATCAGACTCCTAGCGAATCATCCACAATTCAAGATTACTCTAATGACCGCAGACAGAAAAGCTGGACAATCAATAGAGTCAGTTTTTCCTCACTTGGTTTCACAAGTAAGGATTTTGAATTTTTCTCTGTTTTATCAGTTTTACCCTCTTTAATTGTGTTCTTTTTCAGGATTTGCCAAATCTGGTTTCTGTCAAGGATGCAGATTTTTCCTCTGTGGATGCTGTGTTTTGTTGTTTACCACATGGAACGACCCAGGTTTTAAACAACTTCTTTTTAGCCATGCAGCATAATTATTTGTTTTAACTGATATCTATTGATGCAAAGTTTCCTATATGATCTTGCGACGGTGCTAATTGCTATATTTGGTTTATAAAAGGAAATCATCAAAGGTCTGCCAACTAGTCTAAAAGTGGTTGATCTTTCTGCGGTATGCCTACTGTATCAGTTTTCTTCTACTCTGCACTATGTCACAAGCATTCTCTTTTGATACTATTTATTAAAAATTATCAACTGCCTGACTGATGCAATGTGGCTGTGTAGGACTTCAGATTGCGTGATGTTGCTGAATATGATGAATGGTATGGTCAGCCTCATAGAGCACCAGAGTTGCAGGTGTATACATTATAAGTTCTTTGTGAATAGTCACTTTGAATAACTCCATCACACATGACAATGACATTGACTTTTTTCCACTTTTGGTCCTTTCTGGCCACCGATCTGGCATAAATCTACCGGAAGTTTTCGAAAGAATAAACTGGATTAGTGGTCAGAAGGACCACAAGTGACAAAAAGTCTATAGTTCTAGTGGGAATGACCTAATAGCCACGGAACAAAAGAAAAAGAAAATTTTCTTTAAAACATGACATCGAAGAATGTGTAAGTGTGTAACAATAGAATTATAGAATTTATTGACAAAATTCAGTCTTCTCTAGTTTTGATTTTCTTTTTTGTTCTTGTGAAGCTTGATTTAAATATAGAGATTTTCTTTATATGGTTAAAGACTATTTTAGGTGACACTTTCTTCTACTTGTGTGCAGAAAGAAGTAGTATATGGTTTGACTGAGATTTACAGAGCAGACATTAATGATGCACGATTAGTTGCAAATCCTGGCTGTTATCCATCATCTGTTCAACTCCCTCTAATTCCACTGATAAAGGTTGTTCTCTAGTTGAAATATATCATGAAGTTTTTCTGCAAGTTAATTCAGAAAAGTCTGATATTTATCTTCAATACATAGTCAACTAGGTATCTTAATAGTAAGTAGTAACCCACATTTTCTTGTGCCATTTTGGATGTTCTAACTTCTAAAGCTTGCGTCTTTTCAATTCTTTATTTTCTTTGAATTGTTTTCTCAACTGCTGCAGGCTAACCTCATTGAGTTAAAAAACATCATAATTGACGCGAAATCTGGTGTTAGTGGAGCAGGTTTGTTTATATGAGAAATGATAGTCATCGTTCAAAGATATTCGTGTATATATACATTACTTGAAGAAGAACATAGTAACTACCTACACTTCTGTCTTCTTACAGGACGTGGTGCAAAAGAGGCCAATCTGTACACTGAAATAGCAGAAGGGATACATTCTTATGGCATTACAAGGCATCGCCATGGTGAGTAGTCAATATGCTTAAGATCTCCATATGAACAATATGCTACTCGATAGATTATAGTAATTGCATGTTGCCATTATACTGATTATAGTAATTAACTATAGTGATGCATAAGGTATACTCCCTCCGTCCCCTTTTAAATGTCCCGGAAGAGGGTGGCACGAGTTTTAAGAAAAGTAGGTTTGTGTGGTTGATATTAATAGATAAAGTAAGAATAAAGTAAGAATAAAGTAAGAATGATTTTGAGCCACACAAACTTTACCAAATAAGGTATGGGACAATTAAATAGGGACATCCCAATATGGTAAAATGGGACATTTAAAAGGGGACGGAGGGAGTACATGCAATTGATAATATCTATTGTTTTATATAGTAAAACACTAAAACTGAGTTATGAATATCTTATTTGTCATTCCCTCATTGGTTAATAAAAAATATAACATCACTCCTGCTTCACGGTTAATAACATAAGGCTCTTTTCATATAATACTAAAATTTTAAACAAAAATATTGGATAACATCAATGTTTACAGTTGTCCATTAAATTATCACTCTTTAGGGCTAATAAATAGGACTTTATGAGGTTTATAGTAAAGTACACAGAGATCAGACATCTATCGTACTGGACCAGACCAGATCAGATCATACCAAGAAATTTTGATTCAAGTGAAAACATTCTAAAAGAGCTCCTAAATTTAATAAGCAACTTAACAGTTCATTCAAACGTAAAAACAATACCCCTTTTTTAGGGAGACAACTTAATTATATTCCCTCCGTCCCATTGGACTTTGCCAAATTTCCCTTTTTAGTTGTCCCAAAAAACTTTGTCACTTTCCTATTAAAGCAACTAATTGGTGGTTTTGCACATTTCTCTCGCCTCTGCACAAATCTCAACCACACAATTTTTACTTTTCTTATTTCTCACCTACTTTGCACTTGGCAAAGTCCACCGGGACGGAGGTAATATTTAATTTTATTAAATTAAATACAGTTGCTGAAGTTAAATAGTTTATCTGTATAATCATTTAATTGGGTTATCTCATAAACATTTCCTAATAAAGTTCAAACATTTATCCCAATACTTTTTATGCGTGTATTTGTTCAAACAAGTTGCCTACCTTTGATAATTATTACTCCTTATTAAAGTTAATATGTTTATTTGTATAATTGTATCATATTAGGATTGCCTAATAAAAGTAATTCAAACATATTTCATTAATTTCAGAAAAAATTTAGCTTAGAAGTCATACACATAAAATTTAGGAGAATTGGAATTTGCACCTCATTTTTTGAGCGATATTCGAGTTCACACCTTATTTTCAAAATCATTAATGTGTGCATTCCATTAATTCAAAAATTGTGAAGGAATGAGGGTGTAAAGTTAAATAATTTTATATTAAATGGGGTGGACATATTAATGATTCTGAAAATGGGTGCAAAGTCCAATCAATACCACTAAAAAATGGGATGCAAAGTCAAATTTTTCCTATAATTTAAAATCGTTATACAAAAGAGGCTTAAAATCAGCCTAAATTTTTAAAAATGCACAATGGTTTTTATCATTATTAAAATTTTTAATTAATAATAAATATGATACATTAAGGAGTAAGGACCTATCTAAGTAACCTAAAAAATAATTGGCTAAGAAATAAAATTGCTGTAGTCTAATATTTTATACCACTTGAAATCTCATGTGATGCGAAATCACTTTTATAGATACATTCAAATAAAAAAAGTGAAACTAAATACGAAGTAAGATTTAATTCAAAATGGAAATCATAATTATTATTATAAAGTGATTAGAAGTTTTCATTACTAAAGAGGGAGGAAATATAATTAAACGGTTTAAACCCTTTTCCTAAAAAAATGATTTTCTCTCTAAAGCAGCTTTTTGTGAGAGTTTGGTCAATATTGTAAAAACATAATATTTGTTAATTAAGATTAGCGATTAGCGCCTTAAAACAAATTAATAAATGATAGGAGTATAGTTAAAGATAAATAAATGGTAAGCACCTAAATAAAATTGAGAAACACAACAAAAGTTGCCACAAGATCAACTGCTATACAAATTATTAGCTCCTAACTGTTTTCACATTATCGAATTTATATAAATAATTTATTTATGGCCACTTGAATTTCCTATGTGATGTTGCTATCTTAAACTAATTGTTAGTATTTTTAGTCTTCAATTATTATTAAAAATAAGATTCAGATATAACAAGTCGTTAATTAAGTTGTGTTTTTCTTAGTTGTTAAAAAACTCATATAATAAAATACCCAACATATATCCTATTAGTTCAAATTAAATTATTAGAATTCAATCAATTATATCATAGCACTTTTATTTTGGACTAAAGTGATACTCTGTAATCTGTATCACTTATTTGCAGTACGTTTGACCTAATCATTCCAGATATATTTTGTCAAGAACATTGATTCAAAATCAATTCTTAATAATCACATGTTATGAATTTTCTAGATACAATTAACTTTTATCTCAATCTCGTGAATTTGATTCATATTATATGCAGTTTGATTCGTTAACTCACAAAAAAACACATTACCAATGTCATTTACATATACTCCGCATTAATAAAAAAATGTGCACATTTGAATAGGTCTAAAACTAAAATAATAATAAAAATAAACAATATATGCATAAATTTTTTAAAACCATGTTTCTAATTTCTCCAAAAATATCAATAAATATATATTTTTTAACATAAAAGAGGTTATTAACAAATTCTGTAAATAATTTACAAGATCTATTGATATTTGCTATTTTAATTCATATCAATGTGACACTACCGGGGCATGCCCCGGGTGTTACACTAGTTATAGTGAAGAAAAAGCAGGACTTTTGGCCAACTTCTATGCGTGATTGGTCATTGTGTTCTCTTGAATGAGAAGCTGCAAAAATAACCCCGACTTTTCAAGATTGTGGCAGTTTATCTTATATGGAACAGAATCCCAAGAGGCCAAAACAATATGATAAGGTGAAAATGATTTTAAAAAAAGACAATGTAAGTTGCATTCTCATAACTCTAGGCTTCGTTGGGACCCAGCAAAATGCTAGGCAAAGACAAAAGGCAGAGAAATTACATAGCAGCGCTGGAAGGAAATAAAAATCCGGAGAATAATAATTTGTTACAATTCAATCAATCAATTTGTATGTATTTATCATACTGATTTAGATTATTTATTTATTTATTTATTTATTATTTTTATTATATCACTATATCTAAACATGGAACATTTTAAAGATTTGTAATCATGTTCAATCTTATTTTATTTTATAATTTCAAACACAATAAAAGAATAAAAGCTTATTTTTTTCATAGCATTTTTTGCTTTGATTCTTTGCATAGGTTCTATATGGAACTCAGTAAATGATAGGGGAAGAAATTGAGGAGGAAATATGGGACGACCCTGGAAGGAAAGAAAATGTTGAATATAATTAAATATTGGTTCTTACTCAATAAATTTATTTTTGATATTTGCTCAAACTCATTGTATATTGGTATTTACTTATTTCTTATATATACAGACTAAGCAATCTAAACATATGCGGTACTTTCAAAGCATCAATCAGAAGAAAATAATGTTTCTTAGCATTTTCTCTTTTTCTGTAGCATTTTCCGGTGTAAAACCAAACAGAAGAGGTTATCGTTTTTTAGCATCTTTTCCCCTCTTCACCTAGCATTTTACAGGTTCCTTACCCCTTTAAAGCTTTTGGGTTTCCAACATAGTATAACAGTGCCTTAGATTTCTATCTACCAGAGTACCAAAAGTATCTCAATTGACAAGTCGTATAAAGTTAGAGGTATAGTGACGGACAAAAAAGGCTAATGGTACATGTTTGGGGGGCAAAAGACAATTTTTCTCTTATAATAATGAAATAATCATCACTCTGTTTCATATTTTCCTAAATTCTCCTTTCCCATAGAGAACCATACACTATTCACCTTGCTTTTGCAATGTAAGCAATTTTGCACCCTGATGTGTATAGTTCTGATTTTGAAGATGTTGAGAATTTTTCGGAGGATATTGTAGATATTCAATTAACCCTGCTTTTTAAATCTGACCAATGTACATTTTCACTATGATAGGGGAGTAGATATTTTGTTCATATAAAAAATTGGCACAGCTGTAGAGAGCAGACAGCTTTATTGTCAGATCACTGAATAATCAGGGTTTATGTTTTGAATTGCAGTTCCAGAGATTGAACAAGGATTGTCAGAAGCTGCAAATTCAAAAGTTACAATTAGTTTCACTCCACATTTGATGCCAATGGTAATAAGTTAAAACATTAAGGCTATCTTTGGGGGTTTGAATGGAAGGGGTGGTGTTGTTTTTTATTTTTAAATTATGAGATTATTATAGGTGGTCTATGATAATAAATACTACCGTATTACTTTCCCATTTATGTCTTTGATTTGTAGATAATTTTCAAATTACAAAAAATAATTCGCCACAACCCAACTCCAACCATAGCCTAAACCTGCTCTCCCACTATTAATGTCTGGTTTCCTCATCTAATATGTAGTTATTTGTTTCTTTTACTCATGAATTTCTAGAGCCGTGGTATGCAATCAACTATTTATGTAGAAATGGCTCCTGGAGTTACAACTGATGAGTTATACCAGAATTTAAGGAGCTTTTATGAGGTATGTTGCTTGTGACCCAGCTTTTGTTTTTAACTTCTGATTAACTATCACATTTGCAAATATTGGGAGGGAGTAAGCTCTTATTTGGATTGCTCTCCTGTCTGGATATATTTGTGAAGTGATAAATTCTCTGTTTTACTCATTGTCTTTTATGTGAAATTCTGTAATAAATGTTTATCAAGATGGTTTACACAATATGTAAACAAAAGGCTTTTGGTTCTATGGAGAGGGGGTGAAATTGAGTTTTAACCCACTTTAATCCATCCAGAATGAAGAATTTGTAATATTGCTAAAGGGCAAAGAAGTCCCCCATACCCGACATGTCCGAGGATCCAATTACTGTCTCATGAATGTTTTTCCAGACCGAATCCCAGGGAGAGCTATAATAATATCAGTCGTAAGTTCGTTTTGGCATTATCCTGGACTAGTAGTTGCCTCCATTGTGTATGCACTAAATTTTGTGTTGATCTTGTGGCAGATTGATAATCTCGTGAAGGGTGCCTCTGGTCAAGCCTTGCAGAACCTCAACGTGATGATGGGAATTCCTGAAAATTCAGGGCTTCATTGCATTCCTTTATTTCCTTGAGATGTTTTTTGTTTGACCTCATCACCCTGGTCACATTTCCACATGTATCAATAGTTTTCTTCATGCCTTAATGATGAAGTTCCCATAACGTTATAGGCTCAGAGTCTCAGACCCCCAACTGGCCATTTTCCCCTAGTGTAAAAATAAGGTGTGCTAAAAAGCACCAAGTTTTAGGCTTACATCCCTAAATTTATGTATGTATGGAATAAAGCAATAAAAAGCTGTATTACTTTTAGCACATTGTTTTTCTCATGCTAGTTGGTGGAGAGGCTTTACATCATGTAATCACATTGAATTTCAACTGCTTTTCAATTTTCACAATGTTAGTGCATATCCAGAAGGGGTAGAAGCCCTTTCAAAATATTAGGTCCAACTGGCTTGAGAGAACTCAAGATATGGATGGGGTTGAGAGTGTGGTTAGTTTCATTGGGTTTCCTTGTCCGGATTGATGACGACTACCCGGTGTTGAATATCCTTGAGCTCCTCAGCCGGATTGTGAATAACGGGGATGTTTCCTAGCATAAGATGTGGGTGGAATGAAATGGTGTCATCACTCACAAGTTTGAGTTCATTGTTTATGAGTTTTCATACAAAAATGATGTTTGTACACACTCTTATACACACTTTTGTACACACCTATGTCTGTGAAAGCTTTTTTTTTGCACAAACAAAATATGTATGTGAACCGACTTCACAGACAAAAAAAAACTTCACAAACATGATGTGTACAAGGGTGTGTACATCAAGAATGGTTGGTTTTCATATAGCTCGGTGAAGGGTGCTGTCGTGCCGGCTTTTTAATAGTCTTCCTGTTCCAAGGGCTTTTAAAGAATACCACAACCGTCTTTAGAAAATGCATGTAATCAATATGAACATATAATAGATTAGTAAATGTATTTCAGTATTTACTCCACTTTTTAATGGTTTGCCTACTGGGAATAAAAAAAATGTAGAGGTTGTGGGCCTTGTGGCGTGTTTGGTCAACACGATTATGCACAAGTAATATTTTTGATAGAATTAGGTTTTATATTGAACTATTGATAGCATCAAGACACGATGGTGGACATCTGGACAAGTAATACCATTGATGAGTGATCGCCAAAAAATAATCTAAATCTTAAAAATTGTAATTTAACGTTAAAACTATTTCACAATTTTAATTGCTGTTTGTAGACCTATAGTAATTATACCAACTATTCCATATTAATTACTTGTTGAAGTCTGTTTATACTTTATAGGTGTTAGTGATGTGACCATATGTCCATATCAGCAGTTTAAAAAATGTTCTAATTTTAGAATATGAAAGAGTATTACAATATATTAAAGCGTGATGAATTCGAGTATTCCACTACAAATATTATATAAAAACAATGATAATAATTCGTACTTGCCCATAAAACATGGCCAAAAATGACATGCATGTGCAATAATAAAATAAAAATTATGTGGTTGAGATTTGCGCACATCTGAGAAAAGGAAAATAATTCAAACACACATTTATTACTTTAATGGAAAGGGCAATTTTTTTGGGGTGATTGCATAAACAAAATTAGCAAAGTTTTGCAGCATGAGGAGTAAATGTTATTGATAATCAGTTGCAAAATAAAATAAAAAATGCATTCATTTAATTATACTATATCTATCCATTAGTATATAAGTAATTTTTGAAAAAGAATTGTATCGTTACTAGATGCACATAAATGAATATATGATTGTATTGAATGAAATTTAACATAAAATTAAACTTAATTGAACTAGAAATTAATTGTACGGAAACAAACAACCATTTTTATAACATTACCTTTCAAAAAAATACTACGTATATAAATGTGAATACTACGATACCCCACTAATAAGTGAGGGTACCATGTGTATAATACTTATGATTGGTCTATATAATTATGTACTACTCATTTAAACATATTTATGTATATTTAAATCGTCTAATTGTTTACCACTTCTAATTGACCCATCTAGACAAGATAAAATATCTTGAACGTACTATAGAATTTGTATTATAAAATGAAAATATTTGAAGTGGTGGTATCTATTTCTTATAATATTTTTGGGCAAAATTTTGATTGCGTAATTATTAAGAATATTTTGATATATTCAATCTTATGTTGCATAAGTTTGAATATTAGTTCTAATTTATAGCTACACCGGGAAAGTTAAGACTTATCTTTTTTAATTAAGTTGCAAAACTAAAAAAACTATGATACAACAAATAGTCATATACACTATATTACTAGAAATTAATAGTTATTAATGCATTATTAAAACTCTAGCATTCTTTCAATACATTTAAAAATATAACATAAATTATACGGAGTATTATCTAAAAGGAACAAATAAAAAATTATATAAACACACTAATTTTGCTATTTTAGTGACAAATGAGTACACGTTTGGGCTATAACATTGATGGATAGTGTACCCGGGGGTAGCTTATCCGAAGGTCATTGCGGAGAATAACTAGAGAGAAGTCAGAGCAAATAAGTAAGAGAGAGAGAGAGTGAATTCGAGTATCAAAGTTGTTCTTACAATGGGGAAATGGGCTGCTATTTATGGCAGCAATAAATGCTAGACAGGGACACGTGTCAAGCATCCGATGGCCGAGGGTCACCTCAATCGGGGTGGCACCGGCATTTGCACGTGGCCGCATTAAATGCGGTGATTGGATGCGACGCTGTACTTGGTACGGTGATTCAGACGCATGTGGAGAGGATATTCTATCGAGTAGGATGCCTTCGGCTGTGTCTACTGTGCCGAAGGCTCCATGGGCTGGGGGCCTCCAGATACCGAGGGCTGTAAGTGGCAAAGGCTCCTATTTTCCGGTGTCTTCTCCCAGTATATTTGTCTGCTCAGTTCTGACTGCCCCGTGAGTTTTGGAGCCCTCGGCCGTGGGATCGAGGGCATCTGTATGTGACCCGTGGGCTTCTTGACACTTGGGCCGCTGTGATTTGGGCCTCTTGTGCTTCTAGGGCCTGTTGGGCCTGTATTAGAGTAGTAGGAGTCTGTGGGTCGGGGATCCCTGGGCCATATACTCCATCAAACATTGTGGGTATGAATAACGGATTTATATGTATGGAAAAGATATAAAAATCTCAAACGTGTTATCTTTAAACGGTACGGTCTGATATTTTTCGATTTTCAAAATTTACGACCGGTATCATACTCATTTCAAACGGTACGAATTTTGTTCGGGATAAAAATCTATAGAACCATTTAAATACTCAATATTCGATTCAATACAATTACGGTTCGGGTCGGATCTTGTGTCCACCCCTAATTGCCGCCGCCACCATCACAGCTGCTGCCATTCTGCCATCATACCACAGTCAATAGTGACCATGAAATTACTAATTATAAATCTTGTGGTGACTACACAACTTCTTAGCCAGTTAGTGTAGTGACAATGCCGACAATTACTACACATTCCACTGATATTGTCTAGGCATAAGTCACTGTGGTGAGATCATGACTAAAAGGACCGACGAATAAAAAACGATAAATATACATTATTTTACTGATGCGTATTAATTTATTATATATATACTACTACGAAGTACTACATATATAATATTACGTAGTAATGAATTTCCCAAAACGGGGGCCCCTTTAATTGTTGGGTCTTGTTCGGAAGAATTGCCTAATTCGGAATATCTCAGGTTTTCTAGTCATTGCAGTTAAGGCTTTAGTCACTGCGGCTAAATATTCAATTGCTAGCACATAGTTTCTATGAGAAAAACTATTTGTACACATTTTTTATACACACCATCTTACACGCGTCTCTGAACAACTATTTTTTATAGGTGAATAGGATGTTCACAAACAAATCATGTTTTTGCATATATTGTATGTGGGTCATATAATATTTTTATTATAATCCATCAACAAGATAATATCTTTATTATATTCAACATATTAAATTCAGTGAAAGTTATATTTTGACCTAAATTTAATAAAAAATATCTATCTCATAGATTATATCATTTTGCTATATTTTTTCTAAATTGTGTTGCAACCTTTTTTTGAAAACAAAGAACTTAATTATTATTAATGAATTCGAAGATGAAAAAAAATATTACAATCATAAAGTTCAAGGCTACATTGGGATGAGACATAGAATCACTAATCACGAAAAGAAGTAGACTCTACCTGCAGATTGACTGCTCCTGCTACAGTCACAATAATTATCAAAAGAACTCTTAAACATCCTGGTTTCTCCAGCCACCGGTAAGGAGCCAACTATAGAATTTTTTCCGGTTTCACCAGCCACGGAAAAGAAAGCAATCCAAATGATCTCATCTTCCTGGAACGGCGGTGGTTCGGGGGGGGGGGGGGGGGGATCCGTCTCAATATCGGCACATATGAAAATCATGTTTTTGATTGACGAAGAGATCAGTGCAAATCTCTTTTTAGCACACAAGGACGCCCGACCGAAAGTGACGGAGAATATGGATATGGCAGAAGATATTTCGCTACCGAAAATAATACCTCCAAACAAGTTGGGAAAGAAATAGATGAATAAAACTGAAAACACTAATTCAGAAGATGTATTTCTATCAAAGAAGATTGAAAGAAGAGAAGAAAAGAAGAGAAAAAGAGGAAGCGGTGACTAGGGTTTCCCCATGCCATTGTCGCTCCTCTCTCTTAGTCACCTCTCAATTTAAAAATGTGTTGCAACCTTAGGAAACTCAAAGTAAAAAATGTATGACTCTTGAATCTTAGGTAGCATTCAGTATGTTCTTTCTTGTATGTATTAATTATCAACATTTCATGTGAACTTTCTGATATGATGATATCTACTAATTGCAATATTTGTTCAAAATTTTTAAAATTAGTTTGACATTGTATCGTAATTGTTTCGTACCATTCCGAAACGGTATGGTACCAAATGATTCTATCTTTAGAACTTAGAACTGTAACAAAATATCAGGAGTACATTCTAGTTTTGATCTAAGCATTCCAGAATACGCCTAGCCCTAGCGGCGGCCACAATGGTTGTGCTGGTTAGCGGGGTTGGTTGGATGACATTAATCAATTGCTAATTATAATAATTGCAATATTACAATAATAAATGAGATACTAAGTGAAGAGAACAAATGATATGGTTAGCTTTTTTGGGGGGAAATTTAAAATAAGTCATATTTTTATCTTTTGTGTTTATTTTAGTAATATTCATAAAAGACCTATGAAAAACTTTTAGATCTAACATCAATATAACATGAATTAATATAATATTTAAGGAACCTGCACGGGTAGTTCAGTTGGTTCAATGGTGGGAAATTTGGAACAATGATCAAAATTTAGGTTTAATGCACCAAACCCCTTTGTGAAATATAAATTTGACGCATTAGACCACTGTGATTTAAAAATTGCGTCAAATTCCCCTGTGTTATAATTAATCATGCACCAAACCCCTTCCAAGAACAAATTTAATTTCCAAAAAAATGAAAAATGATTAGTTTTTTTGTATAATTTAGAAATTTAGACAAAGTTACTTGCATATTCAACCATATTATTAAAAAAATGATTTCAAAATTGTAAAATTTGTTCTTGAAAGGGGTTTTGCGCATGATTAATTAAAACACAGAGGGTTTTGACGCATTTTTTAAATCACAGTGGCTAATGCGCCGAATTATATTTCATGGGGGGTTGGTGCATTTAACCCGACCAAGGTTCGAAACCCGCAACGGCTGTGTGGAGATTACAACTCCTGCATGTTGAGCTGCACCTCTGGTGCGCACGGGTATAAGACTTATCATCATTGGACCGACTAAGTCAACATGATTTACATCCTTCCAAAAATTCTGTCGAGTCGGGTGCGGGGACTCCTGGGGTGAGAGGTTCCACTTTTTGGAACAATATACTCCATAATATTTAAGGAAGAACCTCTGTATAATTTGCAATTGTTATTCTGCCGTAAAACCAACTTTTATTTGTCATTTTTTATACTTGGTAGTTATGTTTTCAGAGTCCTACACTCCTACACTGTTTTCACAAATTAAAAGGACCAACTTTTATGCGTTCAAAACTCAAAAGCCAATAATTTTAAAAGTGCTACAAAGTAGGAAGGACTATTTGGATACTCTTTGAAGATTTAAGAAAATAAATAAAAAAAAAGTCAAAAAATGAAAAGAAAAAAATGAACCGTCCGAAATGTGGTAAAAAGTGAAGAGATGGAAAACACCGCAACAGAATACTCCGCATATTGATATTGATACTACGTATTTATATAAATGGATCAAATATGCAGCAACCCGTGACTGTTTTTGTTTAGCTGCATCCCTTGATTCCCTTTGTTCCCCAAGAATCTCTGCCTTCTTCAACAAGCACCTTCTCTCCCTATCTCAAATTTTCTCTTTTCTCTGTAATTTGGCCTTAAATCTTATCTTCTCCAGAAGCATCTGATCTTATTGCCTCGGAAGATCTCGGAAATGGGTTCGGTTCCGCCTGAACTGAGCCTGGGTTGTAAGCCCGCCTCCGATTCCACAACGATCACTGAGTTTCTCCATGAAATCTCGATGATCGAAAGCGTATCCGATAGAGTGTCAAAAATCGATGATTATATTACGAGGCTTGAAGAAGAGATGCGGAAGATCGATGCCTTCAAACGCGAGCTCCCGCTATGCATGTTCCTTGTCAATGATGGTAAGGTTTTACCTGTGAATTTGGGCGCGTCTATGTATATATGTTTCTCTTTCATAGGCTGTGTTAATAAGAGTCCTGTGCTATTCAGTAGTACTGTGGATTTTGAGACTCTCTCTTTCGGACTCTGCCTGCTCGTTGGAGTTTATGTTTCGATTCCGGGGATTCAAAACATGAGGTTATTTATAATCTAGGCTTCGTCTATCTGTGTGTTACTGTATAGAAAACTTTCCTCATTGAAATGGGCTGTTAATTCATTAATTGGATATCCTCTGGGTTTTCTGATTATGTGTTTCATAATATAATTTGAAAGTTTTATAATAATTGCAGCGATTATATACTTAAAAGAGGAAGCAGAGAAGTATAGGACAGCAAGGGTGGAACCAGTACTGGAAGAATTTATACCACTGAAGAAGTGCTCTAATGATGGGGATGACGGTGGAGATAGGATTGATATCAGGAAAGACAGAGAAAAAATGAATTGGATGAGCTCTGCAGTGCTATGGAATGGTGAAATCCTTTCAACCAATAACAAACACCACCCAGAACCTGAGCTTAAGATGGTAGTAAAAACACTAGCTAATAATCTTTTGGTGCTTATTTTTACTATTCTCTATACACATATATTGGTCTTGATGATTCGAAAACTCTTTTTTGTTCTAGACAACTGAGGAAGCAGAATATAGCTCAATAACCAATGACTTATCGATCCCTTGTAAAACCGGGAATACAGCGAATGGGTTTATTCCTTTCAAGAGTTACTCTGGTTTTCCAACAACTATAGTGAGAAAGCAAGAAAACAAGAAAGAATTACCAAATCTACCTCCTGATCTAATGCTTGGTGCACCTGTGTTTAAGAGCCCAAGGGAAGATTTGAGAATGATTGGTTACTGTTCGAATAAAAATATGAGTACTAGTAATATCACCAAAGCTGCATCTTCTTGTACTTCATCAAGTAGTAGCATGCACAGTAGTAGCAGTAGGAAGGAAAGAAGATGTTGGACACCAGACTTACATAAGAGATTCATCAATGCCCTCCAACAACTTGGGGGCTCACAAGGTTAGATTAATCCTTCCTGCTAAGAATGAATTACTTTGAGTTTTATACCGGGTTTCGTCACTATTTTATGCTTTTAATATTATTCTGTTTTGTGGATTTTCTTCATCAGTTGCAACACCCAAGCAGATTAGGGAGCTCATGCAAGTTGATGGCCTGACCAATGATGAAGTGAAGAGCCATTTGCAGGCAGGTTTAATCTCTTATAATATACTCCCTTCCCTTCCAAAACAAGGTGTTCTCATGCTCAAGTGTTCAAGTCACGTTCACTTTCATTTAATCCCTTATTTTAAATAAAAGATTTGTTATCCTATTTAGGTTTGCCTTTTGGAGTCATTTTAACTTCCAATGTAGTTTCAAAATGCTTTAATTTTAATTATTAGTGATAATGATTAATGATAATACTATTGGATAATTAATTTTATCATTAGTCAATCATAGTAAATCAAATCGAGAATCTGGACTTGAGGGCTTGTTTAGTTACAGGAGTTTGGAGGGGGGGGGGGGGAGGGGGTCATTATTAGTTTTAAATATTTTGTACATTTAACTGGTTGGAAATAAAGTGAAGATTAGAGACTACATGAAAATACATTATCTAACAAACATATATGGAGTAGTAAGTTTTAGTTTAAAATTTAAACATAGGTAAGTTGATAAAAATAAAAAACAATCCTCCAATTCCATTTTCTCTAAAGTTTATTCACCAAACAAGCCTTTATGGGGCAGAGGGAGTATATACACGCACTGACTGACACACACTCTTCTGCACTTCATGAGTTTGAATGTAGTAATGATGATGAGAGCTTTTAATCTGATTGATTATTCCTGCAGAAGTATAGGCTCCACACTAGAAAACTTCCTCAATCCACATCCCCAAACCAATCTGTTGTTGTGTTGGGGAACTTGTTTTTGGGACATCGCCATCAATTCCATGAACCTGCAAAGCAGCAGAGTAGCCATGAGTCTGGTTCTCCCGAGTCACCTCTTTGTCACCGAGATGATGGCATTGAAGAAGCTGATTACTAATCTGTATAAATTGTCAACAAATTTTGCAGGTGATAAAAGTATATATTTACATATGTGGGAGGCAGACTTCAACTTTCACTTCAACTCTGTTGGTCTCAATATCTCATACATTATATTATACAAAAAATATAAATGGATCTTCAGAGAGGGAGAGGAGAAATTTTGCAGGATTAGATTTTTTGCTTTTCTTTGTGTTTGACTTTTGTGGTTCTTTATAGTTTCTTTGAGCAAGAGTTGTGATGTTCATCACATGAGAGAGAGAGGGTTCATCACTGTGACGGATTTATAGAATAATAATAATACGAGTACTATTTATTTTGATGATCTCTTCTTTTACTTCAAATAGCACTTCATGCCATCTAGTTATTAAATTAGGCCTGATTGAAACCTGGCAAATATATACTTCCATCTCTCTTATATTTTTTCCAAGTTTGATGGATATGTGAAATAGTAAAAAACAATCTGATTGATGTTTTGTACAGAAGAGATAGAAATAATAAAAAACAACATATGAAATAAAAACTTGGTAAAGTTTTAAGGGACTGAATTAATATTGTACTCCCTCCGTCCCAATTTCTTTTGCAAAATTTCCTTTTTTAACTGTCCCAAAATGAATTTCCACTTTCCATTTTAAGTATAAAAATACAACTAAAGTGACATGTTTGCCCTCCTTACTCTTTTAATCTTCCGCACCACCATCATCATTTCCACCCCACCTTCTCTTATCACCCTACTATCACCCATCACATCCACCCACTTTCTCTCTCAAATTCCAATATGAAGCACAACCATCTTTGTGAATGGAGTCTCAATCCTTCTCCATCGCCAGACTCCTTTTAAAGAAGACAGGCAAACGAAGGGTGCACCGACTTAGGAGAAAAATCAATGCCTAACTTTCCTTCATTTTGTCCCATCAGCTCCGGCTCCACCTAAAAATCCTTAGATCCGACATGTTTCGTTGATCCAGTTTCTAGTAGATGAGTTGCCGCCGCTGCCGCACAGCCACCGCGCCGCCGCCCTCGAAGAAATTCACGGATAAATCACCACCGCCCTTGTCGAAATAAATATGAACGCCGTGGGTAAAACTATTGAAGCTGCGGATACCGGCCATTCGGTTGGAAACTTGACATATCTGTCAAAGAAGGTGGAGATGCTCTTGGACAAAGACAGGATGCCAACGACTGCCCTGTTTCACTTTTTTCCAATAAGCCATGTAGAAGGACGAACAGTAATGCACATCTGACAAAAGTTGTGCTTGATTTGAAAATTTTAGTTTTCCAATTTATTGGTTTGTTCGTAGGGTTTGTTCTCTTCGCCGTGTGATGGAGGGTAAAATGGGAAAACAAATACTAATTTCTATTCTTTCTTAATCCGTGTGCCGGTCAAACTTTGCAATTCAAATCGGGACGGTCAAACTTTGCAATTCAAATCGGGACGGAGGGAGTATTTAAAAATGGAGTTAACACTGAACTGTTTCATTCCCTTTATGTTGCTTTCCCTTTAGTCCCTTGGTGGTTCAGCTGCCCCTATATAATAATGCCCGTTTTGCAGTCATTTAGTGCCCAATGCTTTGTGGTCCAGTTTGGATAGCATGTGGGTGGAGGGTAAAACGTTAATTTCACCAGCTTCACATTCAAAGTGTGCACTCATTCATGTCATAATCGATGTTTAGAATCTGGGTCATTAGAATTTATATTTATATCATATATAATATTCCCACCAGATATTGATACGGGTGGTAAATTGACATTAACACTTGTTGATTGGATATTATACAAAAAATGTCGATATTAAGTTTTGCAAAAATCTGGATTAATATTATCAATTCTGGAATTTGGATAAATGTTATAGATAAAAAGAATAAAAGAATACATCGATATGAAAAGAATAAAAGAATATTGCCTGAAAAGAGTTTACGAAACTCTTCTGGTAGTCCTGTACATATTTGAATGAGAAGAAAGTCGAACCTCTAATCTCCTCTTATAAGGTACTTTGCTTATCAAGGTACACTATTGAAAATCAAGTTTATACATTTATAAGCTCAATAATTCTAAAATGAAGAAATTGTCATTAATAATCTCTAAGAAAGAAATCTACAACAATAATCTCAATTTGTTGAACCACTTCACAAAAATGAACTCTTCACTGATACGTACGATCTAAAAGTTAACCTTTTTTTCATTTATTTTTGCATGTTTAAAGCGAAAAATTTAAAGTATTAATAAGATATATTGATCCTAAACTTATTTCCATCATAAGTTAAATGTTTTTAATCCGTTTTTGGAGTACATGATACTTATTTTAATTTAATCAAATGTTATAATTTGATATACGTAGTATATGCAGAGGCGTCTTGAGGACTTTGGAGGCCCCAGACAAAAAAAAATATCATATTCAAATCATAAAAAATCATATGAAAAAAGCATATTTAAATTGCACATATAACGTGAACGTCCAAAGGAAAAATTCTTGAAAGAGAATTTCACTAGTTATCTCAACTTATTCTTTCTTTTTGTACTAATATATAATACAAAAATCATAAACAATAAAATAACCAAAACCAAGAATCTATAAATAAAAATGACAAATCAAAGAAAATAAATAATTTAGTAATATCAATATCATCACATTAATCATTTCATGCCTATATCATACGACGTATAATCTAATCCATACAATAACAATTTGTTTTACCAGTATAGCAATATTAACCCAATAGTATTTAGATTATACTTATTTGTCATACATTTTTTCCATCATTTGCAATGGAGCCAAAGATGCATTATTTTTTGGCTTGAGATTATGATGGAATAAACAAAATGGGTCACTAAACTGTCTGCGCTTCTTTGTTATGAAGCAGCAGCCAGTCCAAGCAATTTTGGACGAGATTTTCACTATGGGTCATCCAGAAACAGTATCTCTGTGCTTTAGTACAGGGGTGAGACTGCGTACATCCGACCCTCTCTTACCCCACCGTAGGTGGGAGCCTTTGCGGCACTGGGGTAAATGAAAATGAAAATGAAATGACTTATTTGTCATGCATTCAACATATTAAATATTTAACTTTACATCTTTACTCCTTTAATAGACATTATTTCACTGTAATCGCATTAAAACACTTGTAGTACTAAAAAAGTTAAAATCCTTATTATCTTATTTAGACATCTACACGTGACACTTCGCTGCCTGCTGAATGCGTAGAAGATAATTTTTCTATTCTAGTTTCCCTTTATTAAGTAATTATACATAATACTAATAGTAATAGTTTTGATATTGGAGGCCCCTTGGCATGTGAGGCCCAAGGCTGTTGTCTAGCCTAACTCCCCCCAAAGCCTCCTATGAGTATATCTTATAATCTGTAAGACTAATTTATAATAAAAATATTTTATGTCTAAAATATTTAGATTCTTTGTATATTCTAAATTAAAGACGCTTTAATTTGAAAAATCATACTTCATCCGTTCCTTTTTAATTGCAACCGTCCACTTTTCACGTTTGCCAACACACAAATTTGATCATTAATATCTTTCATTCCTTATTCTTAAAAAATTTTAAAAAAATCAGATTTTGAAAATTTAGGATGAGAAAATTTTAACAATATTTTTTTAAAAAATAATCTATAATACATTAATAAATAAAATATAGTCAAAATAGAATATATGAATAGTGTAAAAAGTATGTTGCAATTAAAAGAGAACGGAATACATAAGCACATCGTACCTTCAGCCTTGTACCTAGTACTCCGTATTTGTCAACAATTTCACAAAAATGAACATGATGAAATGGTGTTCCACTTTTGTGAAACGGTAAACGAAGTGGATTAATTATTAGCCTTATTAGGAATTGTTTTTTGTAAAGTGGGTAAACATTGTTCGTGTAAACAGAAAAATCCATTATAATTTCAAAAGGTATATACGATAGTATTTATGGATAGAAGAATTGAATGTAAATAGTGAGTGTGTTGGCTTATGGGTTTCACGATCCCTTTCTTGTGATTGTATGAACCGTCCATTTCCACTTTCCAGTGCTCCATTGACCCAACAACATAACGTACGTTTTCGTGTTTTTAAGTCTCTTATCTGTGCGATGACAGAGACTACTGAGTGGTGGAATGAGCTGTAACGAATATCGCTCGCCGCCGCACTACCTATCAATCTCTCATCACTTATATACTTGCGTTTATTTAATACACTTTATTGGACGTAGATATGCTTTTATCCATGTTTCTAAAGTCCAACCTTCTTTAATCGTTGATAAAAAAAGTGACATTATCGCATACTCAGTGGAGGACAGGGGCGGAGTCAGAGCACTGAGCAGGACTGGGCCGGTACAAAGAATATTTTCAGAAAAAAATTTAGACGAAATTTTTTACATTAAAAATTAAGCCATTTTTAAAATTTGAGGTGGGCCATGGCCTAGGTTGGCCCACCCCTAGCTCCGCCCATGGTGGAGGACCTACGGGGTCTAAGGGCGCGTGCCCCCACTTTCGAACCCGAAATTTAGTCTTAGTACTTATGTCAAAATCAGTGTCCCGCTTCTTGATATAAAACTATGACTATTAAATACTCCATGTCATAAGACACTTAAATGACTTATGATGAAGCGATTTCAAGCAATTAGAAATATTCTTGACTCGATCATTCTTTGTAAAGTGGCATTAATGATTATTTTTAATGAAGTACGAATTATCTTTTTTCAAAATTAGAAGTCAATGATATGACGAGGCTTCTAATACTCCGTATGTGTGGAAACTTAACAGATTTAAGGTTACCTTAAATGAATTCCATACACAAGATATATTCATTGTTTTCTTACAAATTACAATGAGTGGTTGTGGCTTGATG